ACTTTTCCAAGCAGTTTTAAGTGCAGAATGGGATGCTCTGTTCCTTTCATTTTTTGCATTCATACCTCAAAGCCTCCAGTCTCTCCTCTCTCATGGACCTGTTTACTAGGAGAGGACTCATGAGGCTGAGACATTTCTTGTGGCCCTTGTGAATGGTTGATTTCACAGAGGGCGGTCTCGGCTGTCTACATAGGACACATTGTTAGGGGAGGGGACATTTGTGTTTGGTTCCTTCTCATCTTCCTCCTGTTCCCTGAACCTTTAGGGTTTGGTGCCTTCTATTATAAACTCCCAGTCCTCTGCTTTGCTCCTGCATTTTCCTTTTAGCCCCAGGAGTTTTGTTCAGTTCAACATATTCATTGAGTGACCCTCATAAATAAGGTCCTAACTGTGTACTCTGAAATTACTTCCTTATCATCGATTCTGTAAGTACCTCTCAGCTAGGTGACAGGAAGGCTGAATTAGTTTATACTAACATGCAATGACATACTGCATGATTCATTCAGTAAATATTTATCGAGCACCAGCTATACACCAAGTACTCCTTCAGGCACTGAGATTGCAGTGATTAAAGTCCCTGGCCTCCTTCGATAAGTTTGTGGTAACTTGTGTGGTAACCATGGTCCAAGAAATCCCCAGTGAATCTCATTTATTCCAATGGAGGAAACAGGTTTTGTGTGTGTGTGTGTGTGCATGCGTGCGTGCGTGTACATGCATGTACCTGTTTGTGTCCAGTAATTTGTGAAAACATAAAACAAGGGTTGGTGAGGGGGAGAAAAGAGTATCTGTGCATGTGGCAAGGGGTAAGGTTATTTTAGAAAGGTTAATCAATGAGTCTTAGAGAACAACTGGTCTGTCTAAACATAGGGGATGTGTGGGTGGAGGTTTGGATGGAGAGAAATCGCTCTTGGTGGAATTTCCAATAATCATAATCCTAACTTACTGTCAAAAACTAATCATGGGAGGAAGATGTGGCTGGATTTGGAGCTGTATAGTGGAGAGTGATAAGTCAGAAATTGGCACCATGTGAATTGTCCTGTCCACCCTGCCACTCAGTCATGGTTAGGAACGCTTGATCCCCACACACCCCCATCCCCCAAGCTGGTCAGCTCTTTGCTGTTTCCCTGTTTGTCTTGCTGATAGGACTTTCAGCTTGGTTTTCTTCCCACCTATCACTTAAACTCTCATCCTTGATGGTTTCACATTCTCCCATCACATCACCTCAAGCTGTTCCAATAAATATCCTTATTATAACTTGGAAGAAGCCACTTATTGCCCTACCCAATGAGTAACAATATGCCTTATCATTGAAATTGGGACCTTTCTAAAAGTGGAAGGGGGCACTATTATACATTATGCTGGGGCTACAGATATAAACTGGAACTGTCCTCTGCAAACTGGGGGATTGGCCACAGTAAACACATGGTCATGGCCACGTAGCTCTACCCCACAACCAGAACCGAGAATCACCTTCAAACCTAGCATTGGAGGCTTAAGTGGGCTCCTTTTGTGGTGCTTGGAGAATTCCAGAGGTCATCACTCTAGTCACTAGCCTTGTTTCTTGGGCCACCTTTTGCAGTTTCCATCTTGGAAACCCCTCATTTTTTGCCCCTGAACATGTCCCCATTAGTTTCTATCCTTCTCAGAATGCACTGGGGACTTCTTAAACCCATTTCCTCTGCTTCTACAGGCTGCTCCACAGGATGAGATGTAGACTCTTCTAAAAGGAGTCTAAGGTCTAAGAAAGCTATCTCCAGACCCACTCACCCTTGCACAGCCCTGGTTGTTTGCCTACTTGGAGCTAAGATGTAATCAGAGAAGCTAGATTTCCGGAGCTGGAGTGGAGTTGATCACCCTTGCATTCCTTAGGACACCTTAAAAACATCCAGAAATATTATTCATTGCACCTTCACAAAATTATATGCTCATACCTTTAAAAAGATTCAAGGGAAATGATAAGTACCCATGCTTTTTTGAGGAAAATACAGATGCGGAGATCAAGTCTTAAAATTTAGAAGTAACGTTGAAAGATCTTCATAATGACACTCTACTTGGCCTTTTTTTTTTTTTATAGAGGCATTTTTTTTAAATTTATTTGTTTGTTTGTTTGTTTGTTTGTTTTATACATGCACTGGGTACAGTCAGAAGCGCGGGAGGGTGAGAGAATTCACCAGAGCCAGAGCGGGGAGCAGAGCAGGCAAAAGGACCAAAGTACACTGCTGAGGGGAGCAGCGGGCGGCAGGAGAGGTCTGCGCGCCATGTGGGAACCTCCTCTGGTGGCCTGGGAGCAGCCGGGGATCGAACCCGCGCCACAGAGGCCGCAGGCAGCTTTGCAACCCAGCGCTCAACCGCTGCACCACCAGGGAGGCCCCTTGGCCTTTTTTTTTTTTAGCCACAGTAACAACAGTGACATGACATAGTATTGGATTCAAATGTTACTTTTATTAAAGATTTGTTTATTTATATATACAGGAACTGGGGTACAGGCCAGAGATATAGGGGATGAGAGGATTCACCAGAGACAGAGTGGGGAACAGAACAGGGAAATTGACTGAAATACACTGCTGAGGGGAGCAGCAGGCAAGAGAGGAGAGGTCTGTGCCATGTCCATAGTTCCTTATCTAAAATCAATCCCTTGACGTTCTGAAAACTGAAAAGAAAAATCCCAAATTTGTCCCAAATTTATTCACAGCAAAACCTGATTTGAATTGGCATAAAACTTATCATCTGTATCCCACTGACTGTGAATATTTATGTTTTGCTGCAGAAATATTGTTTGTTTACTTCCCCAAACTTCAAAGAGGAATATTATATAGTGAATGCATAATTATACTGATTAAAAGAATTCTGCTCCAAAAGGCTTCTGTTAAGAAATTTGATTCTATAGTATTACTTTGCCTATGACATATTTTTCAATGAATAATCTCTGTCAATTCAGGAGCACAAATCTGAAACAAAATTCCTTACAGTTTGCCCCTACATGGCTTGCTCCAGGTATGGTCTCTCAGTATATTTTCTAGTTTAACATTTAGTACCTTAATCCTTTGGAAGGAAAACAACATTGATTTAATAAATGATTAACAAATAAAGCTAGTATAAACATACTGAGCCCAAATCTCTCCTCCTTGGGGTAACATAGAAGAAAGAGGAAATATTCTTTATCATTATGTGGGAATAGAGTGATTATATGTGCAGTCCATTTTCATTTTGTGCTCCTGCCTTCCTGAAGCATAGCAGAAGCCTCCAAACATAATTTCACACCTTTTTCTAAGTGTAAAAAAACTTAGGACTGGTAAATGTATGCTTCCCACAGGTGTAAGAAAGGGCCTTTATATTCTTTTCTCAAGGGACATATTTTTCCTCAAGGCCAAAGGGGAATAGAGAGGGAATGCAAAGAGTCCTTTACTCTCTGACTTAACCTGAGTGGTAACCAGGATCCAAGAAATCCCCAGGGAATCTCACCTGGTCTTCAAGCCCTTGTGTTGTCCCTTACATGTCGAATAGGGTCACCTATGTAGGATTTTGCAGAAATGACAAAGAGTGACTTGTGAAGTTAGCTCATATACGACATTGTGATTTTGCCTTGCCCTCTCTTAGATCACTGCTTTTGGTAGCTAGCTGTTGTGAAATAAGGCTCCAGGTAGCCCTATAGGAAGGTCTTGTGGCAAAGAAGGACGATCTTCTGCCAACACCAGCACAAAATTGCTAGCCATGTGAGCAGGCCACCTTGGAAATGAATCTTCCAGCCCTAGTCAATTCTTCAGATAGTTGCAGCCCCAGCCAACAACTTGACTCCAATTTCATCAGAGACCCCAAGCCAGAGCAATCCAGCAAGCACTCCTAGGTCCCTGATGCCCCCAGAAGTTGTGAGAAACAAACAGTATTTATTGTTTGAAGCTGTTAAGTTTTGGAGTAATTTGTTACACAGCAAAGATTAATGAACACACCTGAAACTTTGATTCAAGACAGAAATATTGATTTCTGATTATGAAAGTGATAATACAGTTTGTTCCAAATTTCAAACATAGACCTATGTGACCCAGAAAAAGAAACAATCTTATAATACCACCCCCTTCACAATTTGTGGCAAATAGTTCCAGGTTTGCCCTGTGCAAATACTAATGTGTGTGCGTGCATACACACATAGATATAAACACCTATGTGTGATTATAGTAAACATACTGTCCTACAACTTGTATAATCATTTGAACAACTTATTTTGGTACATCTTCATTTAAATCTATATAAGTCTATGTCATTTGTTCATATATCCCCATATATTTTACTATATAGACTTTTCCTCTGAAGGATATTTGGGCTGTCCCAGTTTCCACAAATATAGTGATAAGGTGTATAAACAAATCAGTAAATCTACCCATATATTTCTGGAAGCAGAATTGCTGAATCAAATGTAGGCACATTTGTTAATCTGGTAGATATTTCCAGATAGCCCTCACAAAGAGTTGTTACCAGTGTATTTGCTCAGGGAAGAAAAAAGTTTCTTTTCCTATCTCTCAACAACACAATGTATCCATAATCTTTGTCAATTGGCAAGGTGAAAATGATTCATTGTTTCCTATTGTGTTGAATTGTTCCCTATCCTTTCCAATGTTTATTGGCTGTTTTTGCTTTTCCTGTTTGGAATTGTCTTTTCCTCTCTTTTGCCTATCGATTCCAGTCTTATATACTGATTTATAAGAACTCTGTACACCAACAAATTAAGCCCCGTGCCTAAAACTTTTTATAGAAAATTTTCTGCAACTTCTTGTGAAAATTGATTTGAACACTTCTCAATCATATTTGGAATTTTTCTGTCATAACCTAGTGATGTGTGTTACATAAAGTATGAAAAGGGCTTTGTAGCTTAATTTAAAAGTAGTTGGAATGAAAATTTTAAATAATTAAGACAGTATTTCCTATTTGTACAAGTGTTGACTGTTACTGTGTTTTACTTTGGTACCAGGGCCCAGATTGATTTGGATATTTATTTTTTTTTCTAGTTTCCCAAATACTTCATTCACCGCATTCCAAGAAGCCGCGAGGTTAAGCAGCCCTGGCTGTCCACGGTGCTCACCACCTTGTACTCCACCTGGCTCTCCTTTCCACTGACTCTCCGAGTGAAGCCAGATTTGGTACGTGGACTGTCACTGAGGGAGGAAGTAGCTCTCCGATGACTTGATCCTTCGTTAGTAACAAGATACAGTTTTCTTAAATAACTATCCTTTATCAGGGTGCCAGACACTATGCTCAATCTTTTACTAAAGTCTACTAAAGTTTATCATTTGAATGTACTTTGCTGAAAGATGTGAGAAATTTGTCTTCCCTTTGTATCTATAACTTGAACTCTAAATCTGCCTTCTTCTCCTACTTGGCTTAACGAGATAAACATTGAAGGAGCAGTACCTTTAACCGACTTCTGTTCCTATCCACCTGTGGTTCCTGAGCCGACATCCTGTGCTAGGGAGGAGCCAATTTTTTTGTGCTTTTTCAATACTGCTCTTGCTATTGTCAAGATTTATCAGAAGTATTATTATTAGATACAGTATTTAGTGAGCAGAATGTCAAACACATTGAGATTTTTATAGGAAGGTAATACAGAAAATAAAAATGTGAACTAAATTAGTGCACCGTTAACCTTTTCTCCCCTTATTTATAAACAAATATTATTTTTTAATATTTATTTATTTATGCAATAAAGAACTGGGGTACAAGCCAGAGGTATAGAGGGTGAGAGGATTCACCAGAGACAGAGTGGGGAACAGAACAGGCAGATTGACTGAAATATACTGCTGAGGGGAGCAGCGGGCGAGCCAGAAGAGGTCTGCTGCACCAAACAAATATTATTTTTTTTAAAGATTTATTTATTTATTCATTCATTCATTTTTTTTATTCATTTATTTAATTATACAAGCACTGGGTACAGTCAGAAGCGCGGGAGGGTGAGAGAATTCTCCAGAGCCAGAGCGGGGAACAGAGCAGGCAGAAGGACCGAAGTACACTGCTGAGGGGAGCAGCGGGCGGCAGGAGAGGTCTGCGCACCATGTGGGACCCTCCTCCAGTGGCCAGGGAGCAGCTGGGGATCGAACCGGCGCTGCAGAGGCCGCGGGCAACTTCGCAACCCAGCACTCAACCGCTGCGCCACCGGGGAGGCCCTGCACCAAACAAATATTATTAATAAATTTCTTATTTCTCTGTAGACATCAGAATGAATTCTATTATAAATCTCAAATGTACTGCAGTAGACAGTGCAGATCAGTAGCTGTGTCATTACAGGAGTGTACGGTTCTTAAATAATACTTTCATTCCTATTGAATGCTGAATCCATTAACCAGAATAGCCTGAAAGAAAATGCTTTCCTTACTTTCCATATACCTGAGTTCTGGCATGAAGGATATTATGCTCATAAATAGTTGAACAGAAATTCATTTAGCTATAATGATGTTGAAAGATCCCTATCGAGTTAGTCATTGCCTTTAATCAACTGGATTGCAAGTCTCTCATTTGGATGAGAACTTTAAAAACTGAATTTGATTTTTCTACATGAACAGTTTAGATTGTTTTTAAAAGATGTAATTTACATACAGTGAAATGCACAGATCTTAAGGGTATAGTTTCATTCCATCGCTGTCAAGACACAGAACATTTCCATCACCCCAAAAAGTTTTCTCCTGCCCCTTCCTAGTCAGCCCCTGTCCCAAGTACCCACTTTTGGATTAATCTATCACCATTAATTAATGTTACTTGCATTTGTTTTTAAATTTCTGACAACATATGTTTATCTCACAGTCTCCAACCACATTTTTAATGTGTGGAATTGATGTTTCCTTAAAAGATCAATATTTCCCTGAAAGACTTAGTTCATTTTGAAAACTCAGGCAACCAGGGGCAGTAGGGGGAAAGATTTTAGCATTTTAAGCTGGAAATTTGGGGTTTACATTTACTAACCCACTAGAGAGGCAGACCCACTGTCACTGGCAACAGTTGGCTGGAGTGTACCTTAAGACTCTAAGGGGTTAAGGCTCAGCAGGAAGAAATGATATGCTAAGTGATTTCTGCTGTGGACACAGGCGCTCTGGTGACTGCCTGGCCAAAGTACTGATGTCCTTGTAGTGGAAAGAGTGGCCAATGGGGTGTTAGGACACTTGGTTCCAGGCCCACTTTGGATTTTATTTTATTTCAGTCAGTTCCCTTCTGGGCCTCATTTTTTACCTTAAAACGAAAGGATTGAACTAGATGTCCTTCTAACTTAGTTTAAAATTTTATGGCTGCTATAAATTTGCTTGTAAAAGTGGAAGGAAAAAAACTATTATGAGTTCCTAAAGGATTAAGAGGAGAGAAGCAAGGAAATGTGAAATAGTTATTTCCATTTTAAGCTGAGTTAGTTAAAAAAATTATTTCAATCTTGAACATTGTCTGATCAGTTGCTTTGATATGGTTGACTTCACAAAATGAACTCCCACTTAATGAAATTCCATTTTATAGAGGAAAAAGTTAATGGTTAAGAAACCCCTTATACTACACTGAAAGCAAAACTAAAGCATGCTGATCTTTCCCTGATTTACTTATGTCATCTACCACACAGCACCCTTCCTTCTTCTTTAAAAAGGTGAAAGAAAAATCCACTCTTAGAAAGAATAGTACATCATACCTAAAATGACCAGTTGTCTATATAGCAAGATGCCTTTTTGCTTCACTTTAACTGTGTGCACCTGAGCTAGGAACTGCCACTCCATTTCACTCTCTCTGTCCCTCACTTTGTCATCTATGTGGTGTAAACAAAGACACGTTCCTTATTCTTCCAGAGTGAGTGCTGGATAATAGAAATTTCAACTTTTTAAATGGAAATCCCATCTGGTATATTATAGCACACATTTATTGAGCAAACTTAGCTGTGCCAGACCTGGTACCCACTGCTTGCATTCATGCTGTGTGAAATAGGTAGTACTGTTATTCATATTTAATGATAGGAAGCTGAGACTGAGACATGAAGTTACTTGTCCAGAGTTTGTACCACCAGCCAATAACAGAGTTAGGACTACAGTCGAGGTCTTTATGATTCCAGTGCCCAAGGTCCGAACCACTGATCTGTAAGCCTCCATTTCTGGCTCAGGCCATGGAAGACTATGTTCATACAGGCAAAGTAAGAATCAATTAGTAAATTGATTAGTAAATCAATTCTTCAAATAATAGTAAATTTTATTTTATAAATTGTAATATTGTATTTCATAAATTGAAAATACATCCCAGCAGCTCAAGTGAAGTGCCTGTTTTTTTAGTAGATGCAGCAGATTGATCTAATTGAATAATAGAATGTATTTCAAAATTATACATCATGTATATTTTTCAAAATAAAACATTTTCTAAACTCAAAGTGAGCAATAAAAATAAGCCGGAATAGTATTATTAAAGAATTCTACTCATGAAATTGACCTGGAATATTAATTGAATTCATATTCAATTTCCCATTGCAGGAAATCATGTAAAACCATCATGAGGAAATGTATAATTTGATCCTTTTTGTGTGTAGAAGAACTGGGGTGTAGATCAGAGGTGTGGGGTGGCGGGGTGAGGAGAGTGAGAGGATTCACCAGAGATGGAGTGGGGCATGGAACAGGCAGATTTACTGAAATACACTGCTGAGGGGAGCAGCGGGTGAGACAGGAGAGGTCTGTTGGGCCATATGTGGGTTAGCTCCCTGGCCAGGGATTGAACTCAGGCTGTAGAGGTAATAGTGCTGAGACTTAACCCCTAGGCTACCAGGGAGGCACAGTATTTAATGTTTTGATTGACTTTTTGAATGAATTGATAATCTAATCTTCAAGTAATTTAGAGGAAAAAGTACATAAATCTGTTTACTGAGTGTATATTAAAAGTCATGCTTATTTATCTAAGCCAATTATTAGCTTAAAAAAGCCTGTCTTAGAGAAAAGTTATAAATGCTGTCTAGGACACCTGGCACTAATGCTTAACAATAAATGGAATGGGTAATTTCTTCTTTTACAAGATCATTAAATACTTTTTAGGTGGTTCTAATGTTTCACACATTGCATTTTTCAAGAAAAATGGCTTTTCCAGGCATCTATGAACAAAAATCCTAAGTACTTAGGACTGTTTTTTCATTTAAAAAGATAATGGAACTAAAAACAAATAAATGCTTGTTGGCATCTGGGGGGAGGAGCGGGATTAACTGCAAGAGAAATTGAGGGAACTTTTTGGATAAGAAACTGTTGTATATCTTCATTCTGGTGGTGATAGCTTCTTGATTGCACACATTTCTCAAAATTCATACCTATGCTAAAAGGGGTAAACTACTGTGTGCAAATTGTATCTCAGTGATATGAATCTTTAAAAAGTTTAAAGTAGGTTAAAATAAGCGTTATTGCCAGAAACATCAAAACATTTGGCTTCCAGTAACCTTGTTTCTGGCATTTAGCTTGACAACTAAACAGGCCAGTATAGCAAATATTTTAATTGGGTTGACAACATTTATCTGAAATTTCTGACTCAATATTCATTACCTTTGTATTAAAAATATGGGTCAGGGAGCAACAACTGCCGCTCAAAATGACATATTTCATCTAATGACCTGCGATCTCTGGTCATTTAAATCATCTGTTTTATGTTCGTCCATGGCACCTTGGAAGTACTAGATGCAGGTAGTCAAATTTGGAATGCTGTATTAGATGTCTGATGTGTAGGTGAGCTATTGTCCTCAAAGTGGTAGCTATTAAAAGTATGTACCGAGTGCCTGCTGTGTGCCACTTTCTGAACTGGTCCAAGACAGTAGATATTCTCTACTCTTTCCCCATCTTGTTAAGTTTGTGTGAATCAAATTGAGAGATGAATTTCTCTCTCTCATACCCTATTTTCAATAGCAATTTCTGCCAGCCATATCTTAAAATGTGTCCCCCAACCTGTACCGCCATGCATCCAGCCCCTTCTCTCCCTGCCCTCCTGATATTTTACATATTCTCATAACTAGTGCAAGGAAGAAGTTCATGACCCTGTAATTTCTTCACCTTTTAACAACCAATGTAATTTTAAAACAATGTAAATCATGTTTTGTCCCTTCATACTTAAAATCTCCCAGTGGTTTTTGTGATCTTAAAGTCCATACTTCTCAGAGCAGCCT